TTCGCCTCACGTTCGGCCTCTAGCTGGCGTTCGCGTTCGAGTCTCTCCTGCTCGCGTCTTGCGGCCTCCTCCTCCTCTTGCCTCTTCTTCTCTGCTGCCGAGGGCAGGCGCTGATAGAAGGACTCCTTCTTGATGCGATCTAGCTCGTCCTGTGTCTTGTGTAATATGTTATCGACACCGGATGTTAACGCCTTAAACTTGGCCCATTCTTCGTCGCCAGCGTCAGCGTTCTGCTGCTGCTGCTGCTGTTGCTGCTGATGCTGATGCTGATGCTGCTGATGCTCGTGACTGGCTGTTGATGCAAAGCCTGATGCGTGTGTCGATGCGGATGTGGCTGCTGCGCCCTCGACGTCTGATGCTGCGTCCGATTCGCCAGCGTCTGATTTGTTGGCGGCAGCCTCCTGTTTCGCCTTGAGCTCCCGCTTGTACTGTTCGAGCTCCTCCTCGGTGAAGAGTTCCTGGTCCTTTTTTGACTTCTTCTTTTTCTTTTTTAAGCCCTTTGGTAACTTAAGCATTATCTAATTGCGGAGACATCGAGATCGGTCTGCAAGTACACGCACCCGCCCGCCGATGCGGCCCAAGCATCGAAATTTAATACTCTTCACACACACACATACACAGAGAGAGAGTCACATGCACTCATATGAATGTAACTACATACATACACACGTATGAATGCACSCTCCAGTGTGGATCTAACGCAACGAGGAGAAGGAAGGAGAGGAGGGGGGCTAGCTGGCGCGGGCATTATGTAAGCTAGGATTTCTACAATTTCAACGAATACAGCATCCCATCTCAGTGGAAGTATGCAAAGTACGCAAATGGAATGCGGAGTTTGGTTCAAGCAAGCTACATACGTGTGTGTGTGAGCATATATATATATATGTATGTACGTATATATGTATATTGTATATTATATATCTGTGTATATCAAATAAATTCTATCTATGACTAATGGGTATCTCGCTATTTGAGTACGGATGGTTAGACACGTTTGGCACTCACCGCCGCAACTCGCAATGTCCGGAATATTTGGCGAGAGGCTCAATGTGAACCGTTAGAGCGTTCGACGTTTTATTTTCTTTTCAGTTCTCATGCGTTTTCATTTAGCATTTGAGTTGGCTTTTCAACTGCGAGTGTTGCATGGAAAAATTCAATTCGCACACACACACACACATGTGTGTACACACATACATAGAGACACTCTGTTGAGTAGCGGATTGACACAATTGTGTACCTACAGATGAACTTGCCACTTGGCAGAGCTTTTTCACCACACCACTAGCACACACACACACACACGCATACAATTCACCACAGCAGCTACAACAAACACACCCCAAACAACAACAACAACAATGAGAAGAAGAAGAAGAAGACTGACAGCTTTGTCTTACACTTGACAAAAAAAGATTGGCATTGAAAAGGCAAATGCTTGAAATGTATGCAACAAAAGCTTCGATGCGGCATGCAACATGAATGCTATGAGTTACAAGTTATCCTGTCCAACTGTAAATGAGTAAATGTAATAATGGGTAATATCGAATACTCTATAGAAATGCATATTAAATAGAGAAGAAGCTATGAATAAGGGAACAAATAAATTCAACAAGAAAAAAAATAAAAAATAAATAAATAACGAAATGAAATATTAAATATTACTCAAAAGGTGAATAGGAAATATTTTATATATATTATCTGAACTGCTGCCTTATTTTTGCTCAAAGATTTTACATCAAAGTTATTCAATTTCTACCCAAACTAAACTAAACAATGTAAAATATATTTCAATATTAATTAAAATTCCATCACATATCGCATCTCTCGTTAATCAATCTCTTTAATCTGCTGATCTTGAAATGCCGATAGCTTTCACGTAAAATTTTTTTATATTTTTTTTTATGTGTATGCCTCAAGGGTGTATAGGAAAATTAAATAGATTTCCGGGCTAATTTTCAGCATTCGTTTATGCAACAAAAAAAAAATAAGCAACTGCTAAGAACACGGCAATTACACTCAAAACATTACGAAATAAGGCAAAAGGCAATGCTTATTTACATGGGGCCAATGTGGGTGAGAAATACAAAAATAAAGTCGAAAAAAATGCAGGACAAACGTCAATGAAAATGGGGGGCAGTAGTACCTACTTTTTCCTATACTTGTTGTCTTTGTTGTTGTTGTTGTTGTTGTTGTTGTTGGGGTTTTTGCTGTAGCTCGAGAAAAAAATCGATGGTTGTGAGACGCACTCAAAGAGGGGGGTCTGAAAAATGTGTACGTGTGTGTGTGTGTGTGCGTGCGTGCGTGTGTGTGGGCTACTGAAGCAGTGCAAAGAGAGCGAAAGAGTGAGAGAGCTGGAGAGAACACGCTGCTGCCTACGCACACAAATATCACACACACACACACACACACAGGCACACATACGTGCTACACGTTATATCTTCTTCTTCTTCTTCTTTTTGTTCACTTGTCAAACACGTTATGAAAAAGTTTTCCTCTGATTAGCTTTGAGTTCAGTGCAAGTTTTTCTCTTGGCTTTTCGCAACTTCATTTTCAGGCACTCACAGCTCAATTTACAAATTTTTGTATGCCAACAAAAAAATACATAAAATAATTGAACGGAACTTTGTCTTTTCATTTGAAACATTTCTCACTCTCACTCTCTCTCTCTCTCTCGCTTTTGCTCTTGCTCTCTCTGACATTTGAAATTATGCAACTTACGTCTCACTCTTGCGCACTTTTAAAGAACAATTAAAAAAATAATTGTTTAATTTTTGCTAGCGCAAATTTATGAAATAATTGCAATTGTTTTTAATTCAGGGTTTTTTAGCTGGATTTTATTTAGATTGTTTGTGGTTGGCGTTTTTCTGTCTTCTCTTTTTTCTTGATTACCTCTGATTTGAACTATCGGGAAATCTAGCACAGAATGAATGAGCGTGCCATGAAAACCCATAGGAAGTGCTTTTTGCCAAACGCAGCGGTATCCTTCAAAAGCTTTCTCGCAAAAAGCTGCGCGCAAAAAAGAACCATACACATATACATACACGAGGACACGTGCCTCCCCCCGCCCCACGCGGACGCACACACACAGCTGACGTCGCTTGCTCTGTCCTCTCTGCGTTTGTGTGTGTGTGTGTTTGTGCAGCTCCTGCTGTGCCAGAAAGCTGTGACGTGATAAGCCTGAAGGTTTCAAGCTTCTATTCACAACAACTTAAGCTTTCACTCTCTCAGACAGAGAGAGCACGCGAGTGTGCGTACGTGCGCGAACGGGACAGATATAGAGCAAGAGAGCGAGAGAGCGCGTGACGTGGTTGCACCACAAGCAAAAACAAAACAAGTCCTGTCATTGTTGACGCTTTCATCAGTTTTGACACTTGACATTTGTTGGGGCGCGTGCGCGTGACACGGCCGTCGTGAGTCGTGACTGGTCAGCTACACGTGCGGCCCTACAGGCCCTTAAACATGCTCTGCAGCCCTGGGGCGATATGACAACTGAAATTTAATTGATTCAAAAAGCTTTTGAGCCGAAATATTGAATAAGAAAAACACCTGTGAATCGGGACAAAAAACATATGTAAATAAATATATACATATATGTAAATATAAGATGAAATTAAAT